TGTTCAATCTGGAATATGGCAACACGGCAAAACTCCAACATCGGAAGAAACTTCTGTCTGCGCTGATCTCGTGCTGCGCGATCATGGATATTGGTCATCTGACTCCAAGGAGCACAGTGCGGCGCCATAAAGATGACTTTAGGCTTCTGTTTCTCGATGATGTCCATCGTCCTCTTACGACCGTCACTGGTCAAGATGTCAAATCCGGTTCTCAGGTCAATAGGTTGTCCAACACGCAAACCATTCATGGCAGCAACTTGACTTAACCGTGCTGAACCTGCGAACAGTTCTAAGAAATCAATCTTACCAGTCATGACAGGTTGCCATGCATAAGAGGAATATGTAAAGCCTTCCACACCGATCTGGGCTCCGTCGCTCTGGACAAGAGAGCTTGCGTGGTCAGTGACCGGAATATCGGTCCGTGCACTCTCAGAACTCAGTAGTGCAACCGGGTCGAGTGGCACCTCAACATCTTCGATCGGATTGATGTCCTTACGGACCTTGCTGATGTTGACCTTTAGAATTCTGGTGCCTAAATCGATACCAACCATACTGCCGTCAGAACTGATGACCTTGCCCTTGATCCATTTTCCGCTGTGAGTTCCATCAGACTTTACCTTGGATTTATCTTCTGTCCAATAGTAGATCTTATCACCAGGGTAAAATGGACCATCACTCAACTGAAGTCTTGCGGAAATGTCTCGTCTCAGATCGTCTGATTGTTTTGCTTCTAGGTAAGACTTCATGGCAAGTGTTCTGAGGGCATCTATGTTTTTCTCAGGAGAAGGAAGTGAAGCTGTAAGCTGTTCTGGTGTCATATTCTCTGGGTACAAAAGATCTGCAGGTCGCCTTCCAAATGCCATCTCCAATGGAGATACTCCACCAAAAGTAACCATGGAGTTTCTGGCAAGTGATGCTTGTCTGAGGAGTTGACGGTACGTGATCTCGTATCTGGATGGATCCTCAGTGACGGCCTTAAGCATCAGGGTGATCTGCTTTTTGTACATGCGAACAGCTGCTTCAGCTCTATTTGGCCATGGAGTGCCAGGTCCTAAAGTGATCGGTCGGATATTCTTTCTATTGTAAAAGGATTCAAGTTCAGTACCCATGAAACCTTGATCACCGACAAGATACTTAGGATTCAACTGGTATGTCTCAAAATACTCCAAAAGATGGCCAATCGTTTCTGCTTCAGTCTTGCCGTTACAAACGTAAGCAGTGGTCATAGAAGTAGCACCGTCATAGATGATCAGGAAAAGAAGTTTGGACTTGTCATTGATAGCTAATTCACCATGGTCAACAAAAGTGAGTTCTCCAAACGTTTCACTTCTCATACCTGAAATTCGTGATCTTGAAGGTGCAATTTTTGACTTCTGGCATGTATCGCACTGCTTGACTACCTTTTCGTACTCTTCATAGATCTTAGCAGGAATCTTTAAAGCTGATGTTCGTTTCTTGAACTGCTCAGTTGACATGTGATAGTGCTTCAAGTGCAGTTTCAAGAGTTCGGTTGGATGAGACAGCTTTTCATGGATTCTCTGCAAGGCTAACGGCAATGTTACAGAAACCTTAGGAGCTTTCTTCTCTCGATGCACTGTTGTTGGTATTGGTTTCACGTCTTCCTTTGGTTCTTCCTGAGGATCAGGCTTCACCGGCATGTCAGGTTCTGCTGGAAGTACGTCAGGCTTCCCGGCTCCTGAGCTAGAACTTGGAATCTTCGAATGCTCAAATGGCGTACCAAAATCAGGTGACTTTTCTGTCTTCCGGTATGTCGGAGGTGTCACCTTTTTAGCCAGTGGAGGCATCGAAATCAGCTTCGATGGCGGATCGACCTTGGCATCTCCACTTGCGATGTGCTTCTCTGGCTTCTTAGCCGGAATATCGGCTGCTGACTTGTCTTCCTTCACTTCGGATGTCTCTGCCTTCTTGCATCCATCCTTGTATGTGTGCTTACGATGCTTTCCACTGCAGGCAGGACAGGCTCCATACGACGGGTTGATTGCAGTGAAGCTGTGGTTCGGCTTACGAACTGAGCTGGCAAACATCATGATGTCTAAGACATTATGGTTCGAAGTGCTCACTGGCAGCGAAAATCGCTTCAGGCCGAACAAAGGACAAGTGAAATAATCACCGACTGGAGTATGCTCAATTGACACGCGAAGGTTCCTGAGCTGTTCAACGCTAAAAAGGATCGGAACATCGCCTTGGTCTAAGATATCTATCGCTGTTGTGATCCACCCTGTGGGTGACTGGTCGTTCTGGAAGTAGATTACCAGCTTCTCTCGGACGTTGGGACTGTTCACCGTTTGCGAATGAGAATCGACTTGACGAAGGCTCAAAAGAGAAATCAATCTTGGATGCATTGTAGTGTCTCTTACATGCCTTCACTAGACGCATAATGGCGGTCCTTGAACCCATTGCTCTGGTACAGCCGCTGTCAATGATCACGTAGGTCGGACTGTACCTCAGGTCGATGTATTCGGAAAGCAAAGCACGGTGAAGTCCATCGTCAAAATTGACAAAAGAAGAACAGAAGCGTGGATCAATCACTTCAGAACAACCGGAATGTCGGTAGTCTGTACTGCTACCGGCAGGGTTTAGGTGATACTGATGTGAAACATGTTCTTCACCAGTCATTTCTTCTGCCTGTGTTCCGTAATATCGGAAATCTGCTGACTGGTTCATCTGGTCAGGCCTTGTCTCTGAGCTATAGTGCTCTTCATTTTGCGGTCTGTCCGTCTGTCCGTCCGCAAAGTATGTCCATTGTTGCCAAGTGGCTTCATTTGCCTGCCAGACATCTTCTGGATAGTACTGGTCAGTGTGATATCCATACGAGTCCCATGACCAATTTGCTTCATGTGCACTCCAGGTTTCTTCGGCATTAGTTGATGGTTGAGCTGTTGAAGGCTCTTCGGTGGTTGCAACGTTGGATTGTTGAAAAGGATTCTGTTGCTTGCTTTTTCCTTTGCCTTTGAATGCATCTTTTCCCTTGAATCCTTTCTTTCCACCTTTCTTTCCTTTCTTGCCTTTTCTATAGAAACCTGAGTTGTCAGGGTACTCTGCGTAATGTGCCCCTGCACCTTTGCCTCTACGGCTGACAAAGCCGGGTCTTCTACCTTTTCCGCGGCCTTTTCCTTTGCCGCCTTTGGATGGTTTTCTGAATCTTCTACCATGGATTCTTCTACGGGTGTATCCTCCTTCGGCTGCTAACACCCAAAACCCGGATTCTGAGAACAAACTCACAAATCCTTCTTCGCCTGTTTCTTGATCCATCGCCCAGTATCCGGATTCTTCTTCCAAGTCTCCTTCATCGAGGACAAGGAAAGTGGATCTTCTTTGCCTGCGGATCGAAGGATCGGCAGTTCCTGTGGCGGTTCCGCAAAAGAGATCAAGGAATAAGCCCTTGACACCTAAGTATGTGTAGTTGTTCATGTTGATCTGACGCAAGGCCATGCTGGCTACAAACCTTTCTCTTTGCTGTTCATTGAGATCCGACTGAACTAAGAAAATAAGTGACATCAAGTTGTCAGACAATGGAAAGGTGTCACGATGTGCTTGTTTCAAGGCATCAATGTGTTCAGAACGCATCCTTTCTGCATTCTCTCTTCTTTCTGCGGGATCTTGAAGTCCTTGAAGTAGCAAGTACTGCTGTTGCGAGAGGATATCAGTAAAGTTGAAATCATCAGGCTGTGGAACAGTCGAAAGATCTAATAAGCCCATGAAGGCTTCCATGACCTTCTTGCTAGCGACTTCAAAACGAGCGATCCAGCTGACAAATTCCCCGTTTCCGCGCCAGGTCCTGAAGGGCTGCATGAAACGCCAAAGAAAAACATGATTTGCTCCTTTGACAAAGTATGGGCGCAACGTCTCCTTGAAATACGTAATGCCGTTTCTTTCATGACGAAGCTGTTCATTGTCGAGCATCTTTTCGTAGTATTCGGCGTTTCCGGTTAGAGCGTTCTTCAATGATGGGCCTAATTTTTCGGCGCTTAAGGTGGTGATGTTCACCCAGTCGTCAATCAAATCTTCAAACTCGAACCAGGATGACTGTCCATCGAATGACGGAGGAATTTTTGGCGTCATCTTGACACCTGCTGATGGCTGTGCCTCGTACGTCCGGTATGTCGAACTCGAGGACCTTCCATGTTGTTGGCGATGACGCGTGCCTTGAGCGGCGAAAGCTTCTTCTGGATCAGTTGCTTCCGACAGGCTGTCGTCATGCTCTTCGTCCGTATCTATGTTAAAGATCTGGACCATGGTCTATTTGTTTTCAGACAAGTGACTTACTTGGTTGTCCCCTGTCCGGAATATCGGACGATTCGGCACGAATGCAAAATCGACCAATGCGAAGCAGGAGACACAAGCTCCGCTACCACTTTGAGGGGTAAGTTCCCCCAGAAGTGGCAGTTGGATAACTGGACCTGATCGAAACACCAAGTGAAGTCACACAAGTGCGTTTGGTGTGCGAGCGGCAGCGATGCACACCTTTTCTATGGCTGCGGATGCAGGTATTGGGCTACGAAGTCTTGAGCCAAATGAATTAAGTCGAAAGCGGACTGAAGAGCTACATACTAGTCTATGTGCAAGAACAGGTGCTACACACGTATAGCGTAGACACGCCTAGGGGGACCTAGGACCCTACTAAACACACCCCCTCCCTCCCTCCCCCCCCCCTCCCCCCCCCCTCCCTCCCTCCCTCCCTTGCCCGCTTTGAAAGGTAGGACAACAATCGCCCAGCTGCTTTCAGAGCTCTGATTCCTGCAGATCTATTCTCCCGAATTACTATTGGTACAATGCAGACCCAAAGCTTGAGGTCGCGATTGAAGACAACGGAACAAAAGTATCATCCTTGTGTGTGATAGCCACACTGCAAGTATAGTCGGGCCTCTTGCAGAGGGGTGTTTGACCGTCGTGATTCTGTGAGTGTCTTCTCTGCATTCAAAGAAGAGTTGGTGTGTTTTGCTGTACCGATCTATATAACTCCATATTCCTGGCTCAAGGATTTCGAAAAGATCGGTGAAATAGCGAGTCAGTCGAGCACTACACAGGACGCTGTGCTGAGTACCAGTTCAACACTGCTCCCAGCACTGATTTCGAGCCACAACTTGCATAGGATGTGGTTGAGAACGTGATCAAACCACAGACCGACAGGTGCACTTTATGGAATCTGTCAATCGTGCGCATATCCGCATATCTCATCTCTCCATTGCAACAGCAAAATGCTAGTTGTATGCAACAACCTGATGTGTTGCGGTTTGTGTCTCTACTGTGCAATACAGTTGAGGCGTGGGGCGTGCTATGCCGAATTCTTCCACAGCTTTGATCCGGAATATTATGTCGTGCATTGTTGGAAGGACTGCATGGTGCGCAATTTAGAGAGAGTTTGACTCTTATTTTACTTTACTGAATGCAGAAGCAGTTCCCTGCCAAGTACGGGTCAATGTGACTTCCAGGCCTTGTTCTCCGACCTGCTTCTGGCTTTGGCTACACATGCCTCTGGATTCACCCAGCCAAAGTTGGACCCAAGCCATGAGCAGTTCTTGCCTTATGCTTCAGAGCTGCCACAGCCGTGCTTTCGTCACATTGTGTCAAGTTTGTGCATCAAGCACTTAAGCGGTGGAAGGTACGTTCGGCGCCCTGAAGCGTTGCAAAGGCTGCGAGCTGCATGAAGCAGAGTAAATCTTATTGTCATGTGAATGCGACCACCGCAAAATCGCTCTCTGCCAGTTGAGAGTTTAGCAGAAACACATTTTGTTCCAAAATACTCAACAGCGGCACGAAGAGCAAGGAACTACTGGGGTTCACAAGACAAACATGCGCTGGAATACCGACTTGGACCCACCATTACATGTGCCGAACCAGTAGTTAAGACTCTAGTCCAATATCAGCTTAATAACACACCGTAGAACTCTCTATATCGGAATGCAAATCCGCTGAATCTCAAAGCAATTATGCCGGTTTGAGAAATTTCATTTGATCAGCGATTCAAGTTCACTCAGAGGTCTCGACCCAAGGCGTTGTAAGATGTTGTAAGAGGCCCTTGATCTCGCTTGCTCATTTCCAGATTAGGTTTGTGAACACATGATTGATGTTTCCGTTTAATTGGCTTGCTGCATTGTTCTTACATGATCAAGTCCTTTGTCCGGATTTACCCCTAGGGGCCCATGGTACCGTCTAACTCATTCTCGGAATTTCTCACCTAGTTTCACTCTGTTTTTGTTTTTTTCCTATACCCGCTATGTATAAGCGATACGGGCAGTGCGTCGCTGCATTGGTGCGCAAGTCGTGGGCGAGGCTTTCGTGGCTTTCGTGGCTTCTGGCTGCTGTGGCTTTTGGCTTTCGTGCTTTCGTGGCTTCTGGCTTCTGTGGCTTTTGGCTTTCGTGGCTTTCGTGGCTTCTGGCTTCTGTGGCTTTTGGCTTTCGTGGCTTGGGCGGCTTCTGGATTTTGTGTGGCTTTTGGCTTTCGTGGCTTGGGCGGCTTTCGTGGCTTCTGGATTCTGTGGCCTTTGGCTTTTGGCTTTCGTGGCTTTCTAGCCATGCGAAGGAAAGAAGGAAAGAAGGAGGGAAGGAAGGAAGGCAGGAAGGAAGCAAGGATGAGGGCTTCTGAGGTGTGGCTTGTGGCTTTTGAGGGTCAAATTTAGAGGAGGATGGTGCAAAAACCATCAAGCACCGTTTGTAAGCCACCCGGAGGTAGAATTCACAGTAGATTAGGAAAGTGCCAGTCTGCAGGCCTGTTCATTCAGGCGGTTGCTTTCAGCTATACTTGGCTTTCATTGCGGGGGAGGCGCTGCGCCCTCCCCCACTCCCCCTCTCGCTTTTTTCCATTTTGGCGATTGCTACGGGGCGGCCAAGCAGTCAAGAACGCCCATCTCATCAAACACTTGGCCACCTATGACAACTTTGAAACTTGGAGACGCAGCAACTTGTAACTTGTTCCCGGCGATTGTTCGGTTCAAAGCAGCGCTCGCCTTTAAACTCAGGCGGTTGCTTCAGTGCCGGGTTGCTGACTATACTTTGTTTTCATTGCGGGGGAGGCGCTGCGCCCTCCTCCGCGCCCCCTCCCGCTTTCTTAATATACACGGTTGCTACGGGGCAACTAAGTACCAAAACCACTATCCTCTTTGCATTGACAACGCCGCAAAGGTGGATGATAAGGCCCACCTTCGCTTTGCTGTGACAACGCTACAAAGAGGTTGTCAAGGCTTTGGCTGTTTCTTTCCGCACTGTTCTATCCACTTCCCATATATCTATTTACCTATGCGTCTATCTGTCTATCTATCCATCCATCCATCTATCTATCTATCTACCTATCTATCTATCTATCTACCTATCTATCTATCCATCTATCTATCCATCTATCTATCTATCTGCCTTTCAGCATCGAATGGCCATGCCCGGCCACGCTCCACGCCTGCAGCCATGACTTGGTTGCACTTCTTTGGAGTCCGTGCTTTGCTCCTCCTGGCTTGGTTTTCTGCTAGACCTTTGGATTGGTGGCTGCCCTATGTTGCTGGCAGTTCTTTGCTGCCCGGTCCTAATTCCGGGTCCGTTCCTGAGCACCTTGGTGAGTTCAACACACTTTGTTGGAGCGGAAAAGGGAAAGGTTGGATAGTGGCCGAGCACTATCCTGAGCACTATCCTGAAAGGGGAAATCAAAATTTGATGTTCCACCAGAATCACCCTGCACTTCTGGGCGGAGGGCTTGTAGGATCCCACGGGATCACCAACATCAAGACACGAAGCCTGAAGCGTGCGTACAAAGGACTGGCACTGCATGGGTTTGCTCTATACAGAGGGCAAGTTTTGATGAACGCACCCACTTGGTCTCCGCAACCTGCATGCTTGAGGGATCATGTACCACCTCCTTACCAGCTAAGCCGGAGGAAACGAATGACTGTGATGACTTGGAACACCATGGCTCTTTCCACGGCTCAGTGGCTCACACTGCAGATGGTAGATGTGGTATTCCTCCAAAGCACGTATTGGTCGATTGCTGACCTGCATCGAGGACGTCTACAACACGTACGGTGTCATGTTCATGGACATTGTCTTGACCTGCTGAACCTCTACTAGTTTCCGGTGACTTCAACACGACGATTGGAGCGGGACCCCAATGGGAGATCTGCCGAGGAGGAACGAGCAGCCAGCATGGACCTTGGTGCCTTTCTGAACTCCATCAACTGAGTGCTCTGAGCTGATTTTTGAAGCCCTCTCCTAAGGAGATTGAGCTCAATCACATGAGCTAAGCGTGGAGGTATCTGTACACCTGATTTGATGTCCCGTGCCCTCTCCTGAGGAGATTGAGCTGGACCCTTTGAAGTTTGTTCCCCACTTCCAAATGTTCACCTGCTGTGTTCTCCCTATGGATGTGAACCACAGGTACCAACTGATAGCACGCGAGCCTTCGAGTTTCCACGATGCTGCCATAGCGGTTTTTGGCATCAGTGAGAATGTTTGTTTGAGAAATGGCCATTGGCCAATGTAGAGCACCTCGGTGCGGCGAGATTGATCACAGTATCAACCAAGGTAAGATACCTTGTGCCCCGCTTTCTTGAGACTACTCGAGAGCGCCCGAAACTGAAACTCTATCTATCTATCTATCTATCTATCTATATATCTACTTCTCCCTCTCTCTCTCTCTTTCACTATCTCTATCTATCTATCTATCTATCTCTTTCTATCTGCACTTCCAAGTTCACACACCTGCCACGAAATTTGCACTTCAAGGTCCATAAAGTACTGCACCTGCCACGAAATCTGCACTTCAAGGTCCACAAAGTGCTGCGCCTGCCACGAAATCTGCACTTCAAGGTCCACAAAGTGCTGCGCCTACGACGCCTTGAAGTCCACAAAGTACTGCTCCTGCCACACAATTTGCACTTCAAGGACCGCAAAGTACTGTGCCTACCAGGAAATCTGCACTTCAAGGTCCACAAAGTACTGCCCTTGCCACGAAAACCGAAAAACAAACAAAATTCACAAAAAGAAACAACAATTTCTAAGTTAAATCCGAACCCACTATATACTATACACATAACTATACTATATTGTCTCAACAAGGTCAAGTCGTACCATAAAGTTCATAAAGATCACGTACGTCCGAAGTGCACAAGACTTGGGCTGAATTTAAACTTGCATCTTGCAGCTGGTATTGAAATGCAAATCTCTCAAGGGCGGGAAGGCCTGTGGAAGCTGTTGACCGTCTTCGTAGTATTGCTTTTCCTAATGCATATGTTCAATCTTGGAAGATGCATCTCCCGGGCCTTGGATATTTCCATGTTTGGGTTTATCCTTATTCATCAATAGTCCAATAGTCACCTATGGTGTAGGTCGCACTTATTGAAGGAAGAAGTAAAGGTTTGACAACGGAAGAATGTAGCCCATGCAAGATCTGAAACATGGAACTGTAGCTTTCGTTCGAGCAAAACTGTTATTGCAACATCTACTTGTGAAATCGTAAACGGTTTGACACCGGCTTGTGTAGGCAGGCACAAGTGCTGCAGGCAAACTTTGTTCACTATCGCTTTATACTTCCCGGGTAGATGCGACAGCCTTCTTTGCATCGGCAAGACTAAGCTTAACCATCGGATTGCATGCTGAAGGTAAACAGCAGATAACATAACGCGCAGATCTGTTAAAACGCCAGTGAACACTTGTCATACCGCAAGAGTCGTGCAACCCCGAGTACTTGTGCAACGCCTCGCGCGTGTAAATATCATGCTGGCGTAGACTTGGACTTTCACTTTAGAAATGCAGACAAACGGTGGGCATTGGCAGGCACACTTCCAAACCTTGCTTGGTAATAGGGTTCACGCCAGCAGCCACCACGCTTGCCTGCATCCGGGTTGCGATTGCTGCAACGAGTTTTACTATAATGTTATTTATATATATATATGTTGCGGAGTGTCCGCCCCAACCGCGGGGCGCCGGGCTCTTCTTTCCTCAAGCCGAAGGTCCCTCCGGGGTCACGACATGTCACGGGTGGACAAAATGACTGGTCTTAAATCTTCAAATTCCAAAAATGGCTCCTACGGGTACATTCTTCGCCTTCATAATACTCTTTGGATGTAGGAGCACCTGAAGCTATGCAGCCATCTCATGTCCAGCTCAAGTCGTCGGCAGTTCAACTCTTGAACTTCCGTGGGATCGTGCTGTCTGGGAATCGCTCAGTCGACCCCTCAGCCAACTCCGTGTATGCCAGCAAGTAGGCAATGAGGTCCTTGATGGGTGGCGACATGTTGGTGCGATCTTTCTGCGCCATGAGCCATCGACTGTAGTTCACCAAATCCGTCTCAGGTGAACTTGCAAGGTCTTCATAGCTGAGGTTCTGCTTAGACAGCTTTCCTGACGTGATCAAGGTCTTACCCCAATGGTCCATCGAGGTGATGCCCTTGGGGAGAGGAACCGATCCCTGGTCTTTGAAGCTCATCTTCACGATCGGCCTCTGGGAATGCACATGTGGGGCCTGACTCGAGTCAGCGGTCAGGCGACGCTTGGACGAGTCATTCATGGCACCACTGTCCAGGCTGTATCCAGTAGAGGGCACAAACTCAAATTCACTGGTTTCGTGCTCCATCAAAGCGTTCAGCAACAGATGGACCGAACCTTCTTCCTTCACCTTAGTCAAGAGCTCCTTAGCCACCGTGGACAACT